ACACACACACACAGACACACACACACAGACACACACACACAGACACACACAGACAGACACACACACACACACACACACACACACACACACACACACACACACATTTTCACCACAGCATCCTATCTGCCTTGGTTGGAGCTTCCCCCACGCCAGCTGTTCAAACAAGATTTCCATTGTCACAATAAGCCCCCAGCATGTGTCTTACCACCCACTTTCAGCAAGAGGGGACCTCAAGGAGGCTACTGGTAGCCAGGTTCTGGGCAAAGCAGATTTGTACACCCATGGGTCAGGAGAGGAAAGACTGTTGCTTCTCTCAGAGGAAGCAGGTATGGTGCTCCTAGAGTGTGTATACAATACAGGGGTGAGCCAGGGGCTTCCATGGCACATTTTAGCTCACAGAGCCCAGTGGGCTTTGTTTCATGCCATGCTGGCCTTCAGCCACATGGGGCCTGTCACCATCTCACTAGACCTGGCAGCTTTACTTCTATTTCATCCCCATCATAACCACTGTCTTGCTGTTATCATCTCACTCACCTCTGGAGACTTGCCCTGCTACCTTGAAGAGCAAAGGCTCACATAAAACACTCTCCACTTCCCACTGACCTCACTGTCACAGTGGGACATATGTTACATGGGGGCTTTAGAATAGGTTTCTGCTGAGAAGTCTTAGAACAGTGCCTGGCCCTGGGAGGTGTGGGAAGGCGTTTTTTGTTTGTTTGTTTTGTTTTGAAGTTATCGTTAATATTTTTGTGTCTCTGCCTCTTCCATTAATAAATTCTGTCATTTACAGTGTACTTCTGAGTACAGGCAGGCACCATGCTTAGTGCTAAACCTATGCCATATTACTATTTCTGTTGAGCTTGAAGGAGATGGGGATTGTTAATAAGATGAGATGCACTGGGGCCATCATTTCTGTAGCATGAACTGTGAGCATTAGTGGAGTGCACTATTTCCTGGTAAGACCTTCATCAGTGATGTGCAGATTCTAGGGTCAGACTAAGGCCTTGTTGGCTGCAGCCCCTGGAAGAGATAAAGGCCCGTGCCTAGCAGAGGTCATTACCTCAGCCTCTACCCTCCCTTTCTTGTCTATTGAAAAAGAAAACTGCAAGCCACACACACACACACACACACACACACACACACACACACACCCATGTCTAGCTGCTGCTGTGTGTCCCAGCCTGGGTAGTTGGGAGGCTTTGAGGGCTAGTTTCAGGGCAGTGGGCTAGATGCCCTGTGAGGTGACTGGAGCCAGGGCAAGACCAGATGGGAATTTCGTCTCACAAGGTACCTATAGGCATTTTCTTTCACACTTTGAAAAAATAAAGATGAAAACTCTCCCTTGGAGCCCAAGTGGGGTTTTTATTGCTTGGAAAGAGTCCCAGGAAAACGAAGTGGGACTGAGGAGGGGGACGAGCCCCTCTGAATGCAACCTCCCTCTTTCCTTCCTAGCTTACTCAGCTCACAAAGTTGGTCCCCAGTCCAGGTCCCCACCCCCTTCCAGGCTCATGTTGGGGAAAACTGTCTCATGGCACAACGGTCTAGAGGCCAAACCAAACACACTGCACATTCCCAGGCTCTGCAGTTGGCTGGCACTGGGGCTAAGTCTGCGTGGAGCTGACAGGACCCCAAGTGTGGGAAGGCCCCTCTGGCTGGCTAGAGGACAGAGCTCTGTACAAGTCTGCATTACCTCCTTGGCTTGATTTGTAAATTTGGGCCAATACCATTTCCTAGGCCTCAGTTTCTCAGTCTATACAAAGAAAGGGCAAGAATGGAGTCAGGGACTTTGAACTGATTTCCAACAGTAAAAGCCAGAAGTAAGGTCACCCACTGGCAGAAATCCAAGGGAAAGTATGGACAAGTGAGGCTAGTGCCAGGCACTATGTCAGTTGCCACCCCTTCCTGGGGGTTCCCTGGAGCAGGGATGGATTCTGGTACTAGAGGTCTGTAGGCTCGGCACTGGGCATCACCGACATTCATATTCTTACTAATAAGAGGAGCTGTTGCCTAACTAGGGGCACAAGTGAACTTTTTGCTCATTGAAAACCAAAGATGAAAGCCCCTTGCCAAAGCCTAGAGTTTTTATTGCTTGAGTGGGGTCTCAGAGACATGATGCAGGGAGGTAAAGAACTTCCAGTTAGTTATCACCTCAGAGATCCTCAGAGGACCAGCCTCTAGTTACCTCCTTAGAGAGATGCAGGGGCACCAGTCTTGCAGAATGCAGGGCTTGGATGACAGGATCCTCCATGTCATTGTTGGAGGAAAACTTGTGATTCTCAACTGGATTTTGTCCTCTTTGGACTGAGAAATCAGATGTAGGCAAAGACCCAAATTGCTCAGTTTACCTGCTGCTTCCCCCTGCCTCCACCCAGTACCTGGAGCCTATCAGCCTTCACATCTTGTGCCATGACTCCTTCCCCAGGAATGCCCTTACCCTTCCCTCAATCTTGCAGACTGTGGGCTAACCATCTGATGTGTTCTAATAGTGGACCAGAGGTGGAAGGAACTTTCCATCCTGAGATGAAAAATGGACCCAGAGATGGGAATTGCCATTGTCTTGTAGGCTGAGGCTCCAGGGCCTTTTCAGTGACACTGTCTTGAGAGCCATATGTCACTGTCTGCCACCAGCACTAATCCACAGTAAAAATGGGTGACAGGTGTGTACCCAACATGTCTTTCCTAACTTGGGGGTGGTGTTGTGCAGCCCCTACCCTCATTGATGGCTTTAAGTCTAAGACACATTGAGGGCCCCAAGAAGCAGCCTGCTGGGGAAATTGAGCCTGAACATCCCGGAACAGAGACTCTGGAAGTAACACTAGCAGCAGCCACTTCAGGTTCACTGCAGGACTGATGTCAGCTTTACAGGCATCTTCTTACTGTCAAAGCCCTGTGCGGTGGGACTGCAGCACTACTCTGTCTGATTCTTTCGATAGTTTTTTGATCATTGAGTGACTTCATTTTCCAATCCTCACAGGGTACCACCCACTTCAGGTGGGGTTCTTTTGTGGCAGGGACACTTTAGCTATCCTGGACTACCCCACACTGTGAGGAATGAGAGGAATACCTTGAGCAGGAAGGGCAGCAGACAAGAGGAATGAAGAGCCCTTCTGGGGGGTGTACTGTGTGTTCCCTCCCAGGCTTTGACATATGCACCCTGTATGGCCTATACTTGCCTAGTGACACTCACCAAGGATCTTTGCTACGTACTCATGCTCACCTCAAGATCAGGCTTTGCCTAGCAGTTGGAAGGTGCTCTCTACACCTGTGTATCCTCAACAGGCTTGCAACTCAGATGTGCCGGTCACTCTGCCTCCATCCCTCTCTTTCCCACACACACACACACACACACACACACACACACACACAAAACACACACACACACACACACACACACACACACACACACACACACGCATGCACGCACCTGTGTGCTTGCAGACTTGGGGACATGGAGTATGAAAGCTGGGATAACTTCCAGAAACCAGCCAAGGCCCTAATGGAGCAGGAGTCACTTTAGGATTGCCACAGGCCCATGTTTTATGGGAAAGGTCTCTGTCCCGGCTTGCCCTGGTCACACCTTTCCCTGCCGTCTCTGTCTGTACTCAGAGGTAAGGGATTCCTGAGAATGCTCCACTGCCATGCATCCATCTGTGGACACACTCAGGCCTTTCCACGGGTCCCCATAAATCATCCTGCCACAGGCGGCTGCTACTCTAAACTTCCTCCACTGTGTTTACATCTTGGGGTAATGAGGGGCGAAGGGAGGCCAGCCTGCTCCAGGTGGTGTCCCAGCCAGGCACTCACAGGCTGAATCCCTGGTTCCCTCCTCCTCAGGCTCAAGCATACAGTCAAAGACCCTTCCCACCTAGTGAGGCCTCGGGTGACCTGGAGCCGTTCAAACCAGATCTGCGCCCAGGATTCCCCAGCCTAGAAACAAAGGCAAAGAAATGGAGTGTGGGCAATGGAGCGATAAAAGGGCTCCCAGAGGTAGCTAGGGCAGATAGGAGATCTCAGCCAGGTGGGGATGGGAGAGCACTTAGAGGGTGGGTGGTGAATATGAACCTTAGAGTTGGATGACAGTTCTGAGTCTCCATCCCTCAGTAGGGTCACAGATTTGGATGACTCTGATACCTTCCCGGTAAAACAGGCCTGCTTTATGCGACTCTTAATAGGACAACGTAGTGATGGGTGTAAGTGCCTGGCACAGTGGGAGCTTCACAAAGGCCCTAAGGAGAGGGAAGCAAGTGTCATAGCATGGGGGGACATGGTATAGCCTATGGTGGCTCATAGCCTATAGAGAGGACCCAGTGGAGGTGGAAGGAGAAAAGAAGGTGAGAGCCCTGAGGCAGGCAAGACCATGGACCAGAAGACCCCCAGGGGCCCTGTTGTGGTAGTGTTGGTGGAAGATGGGCAAAAAGTGAAGGGCCAGCTCCAGTTGGATTTAAGAACAAAGTGAGAAGGAGAATAAAATAAAGCTCTAAGAAAGCTGGCTTGTCAGAAGGACTTCAGTTGAGCTCCACCTTGTCCTCTGCCCCTTCTCAGAAAACTGGAGACTTGGGGACTCTGGGAAGGTGGAATGAGCCCTTTGTGTGTAGGAGCCTATGCCCTGTACTGGGGCTTCCTAGGGAGCACAGGACCCACTTTCTCAAGAAGCAGCGAGGAACTTTAATAAACTGCTCTTTGGTAGAATATTCTCTTCCAGCCCGAGCAGAGGGAGGTGATCAGCCAAACACAGTTTTACTTGCTGGGGTGGAGAAGGGTTTCCCTCTGCCAAAGAAAAGCCACCTTCTTCCCCTGAAGCCAGGGTCTGTATTCCAGATCCCATGTTGTGAAAAGGAAACTGTCCGGTGTCATTTGTCTGCATTTCCCTTTCAGACATAGTTAGGGGCTGGGGGGTTCATTGCTGGAGCTGACAGCCTAGCCTCCTTTTACCCCATGAGTTAGAGTCCTCTATTGACCAGGACTGTGAGTGACCAGACTATCGTGAGTTTCTAGTGGACTCTGGTAGCCTGTAAGCTTGCCCACACCTGAAGGATGCAGCTCTTCTTAAACTCTAGCCTCTTGCACCCAGCTAGGTGGAGTAGCCATGCTGGGCACCCGGTCTCTGTGTGTCTCAGCCAGTATAGCTAACTATAATGATGCCTCTGCTGTGGGAGGCAGGGCTGATGTCTCTGCAGAAGTACATTCTCCAATAGCCCACAGGAGGCGCTGTGGCACCAATACCTAAAAGCTCAGAGGCTTTGATGCCTACCCATTGGAAGTCCTTTCCTGATAGTGCATGGCGTGCTCTTTGTGACGAGGCCTGGACTACATCAATCTCTTTTCACTGGTTCAGCCACCTGGCTGTAGAAGAGCCAGGAAGTGGAAGGTACCATTCGGTCAGCTTCTGTTTCCCTGGGTGGCCAGGCCCTTCCTTCAGTTCTATACCTTGGTTCATATTCATGAATGCACAGTTGGGCCAGAACTCCCTAGAGCTGCTTAGAACCTCCTGGGACTTAGACCTCAGGCCTCTGCCCTGTGACTCTCATGCATGAGGTCTGTGTGGCGCTGAATACTTGCCCACTTAACAAGGAAGGTGATTTTGTTTGGGATGCTGAGGAAAATCCTGGGTGGATTAAGATCCAGTCTGGAACTCTGGGTTCTGAGGTTCCACTGTTGAAACATCAGATCCAGGACTGGGCTACCACAGCTGGGGAGGACTCAGGTCCATTCCTGAGACATTCCTTAGCAACACCATTCCCTGTCTGTAGAGATTTCTGCCACACAACTGACTTAGGGAGATTGCTTTGGAGAGGAACTGAGTGCAGGGTATTAGACAGAATCTTGGAGCAACAGGAGTTTTGGTGACAGGCTGAGGCAGGAGGTGTTGGTGACAGGATGAGCATACAGAAGGAGAGCGGGGGAGTCCCAGAACCTTAGGCTGTGTTCTGTACCTGCCTGTTTACAGAAAGGCCCACAGTAAGCCTGCAGAGCCACAGCATCCAATGCCTGGTGTTCCTTTCTCTTACAGGGTGGGGGCTCCTCCAGGGTCTCTATGCTACAGTGACACTGCTCAAACATTCCCAGCACAGGGTTTGACACCTTCTGACATATCCATCCTGGGACAAATGAATCAGGGGCAGGCCAGGCACGACAGACTTCTGTCTGTGGCACTGAGGGATGCATCCACATCTTCCTTTTAATTTTAAATAATTAACCAATTAATTACTGGCTGCACTGGGTGGTTGAGGCCAGGGCCTTGTGCATACGAGGCAGGCACTATCCTGATGCTACATCCTCAGACTTCTTTCTACTTTTTATTTTGAGACAGACTCTTACTAATTGCCCAGGCTGGCCTTGAACTTGTTGTCTTCTTGTGTCAGCATTTCAGGCCCCATGCCACTTTTAAACTAAAGAGTTTAAAACTACTTGCTGTTATGTTGAGAATGAACCTCCAGAGTCAGACGTGAACATGTTCTACACACCCCAAAAGATGCTTACGGAGATGCTCAAGTGTCAGGGAAGGGCCTGTCTCTAAACTTCCACTCCAACTCCTTGTCCCTGCTTGCTCACAGCAGGGTCTGTGGCAGCAGGGTCTGCGCTGAGCCCTACAGGAGGCTGACAACGAGCTCCTAGACAGCCTGTCCCTTCCCTGCTTACCTGTCCTCGATGCGGACCCAGAGGTCGTTGAACTGCCTTGGCCTTTGGTGTTTGTTTAGTCTCTTGCGCCACTTTTGCCGTCCGAACTCCTCCAGCTGGCTAAGGCTGTCCGGGAGCAGGAGGTGTGGGGACAGGACTGGATCCTCCTCCTCAGGAGGGGTGGTGGGGGTTGCTGAGGTTGCTTCTGGGACTGCAGCAGCTGGGGTGGCTGGGGCTGGACTGGCAGAAGAGGTGCCCTCGGGAGAAGGAGCTGGGCTCCCAGTAGCAGGACTGCAAAGTGGAACAGGATGTGAGTGTGCCCTGTGTGCAAGGGGGGATGCAGAGGGGATGTCTTCAAGGTGACGGGAATGTCCCTGCTGGGATAGGCTGGAGGGAAGCAGGACAACCATTGTCTGTTACAGAGAGAACACTGATGTATTCTTTCATCTTCTAGTTCACAAATTCCCTGGAGCTAACATTTCCTAGAAATTAAGTATCAGCAGTGACCCAAACAGAGGTCCCCGCTCCGGCTCATACCCTGAAGTGGGAGACAGTAAAACACACAGGATATCAGGTGGCCACACTGCCGAGGAGGAGAACATGAACATATGGCAGAGACAGGTGTGAGAGCTCAGGGATGGAGGAGCTGGTTGAAAAATAAGGTCTATGCTTATCATTTGATCTCGATCAAGGTTTCGCTTAGCAATACCCCTGGCGGAGGGACTCTAGGTGAGCTTTCTAACTTTGCTGTGCCCCAGTCTCCTGTGATAATGGTCTGGACCTTCCCAGGGACATTGTGAGTTTATGGGTGAACACAGGCGAAGGGCTTAGAACAGTGCCTGGCAGTGGTAGGCAGTCCAGGCCACTGAATATTTGATGCTATTCAAGCTGCTTGTGTGCACTGGATATCTATGGATTATCTTTTGAATGGAGGCAGGACAGGGCTAAGTCACTAGAGTGCAACCTGAAGGCTGATAGAAACAGTGCACATCCCACTTTATAACTCATGGCCCAGATTGTGGATGGGTAGCACTTGGAAAGGGGATGGAAGAATATTGTTACCTGCTTCATCAGATGGCATGGTGGTGAATGAGCACAGCCATTCAGCACAATGCCTGGTACCCACTAAAGCTCTCTGATTCGGGTCACCAAGCAAAAGGACCTGACTATGCAGGCACTCAAGGGTCATTTAGTCATGCCTGTGGAGTTCCCGCTTAAAGTAGGGGTATGCCTCTCAGCCTGCAGATACTCCCTTTTATTCTTTGCTTTCTGTGGCCCCAAAGGAATTCCTTGGAGGGTGAGACGTGGTTTTAGGAATTGTGTCCAAGCAAACAGCTTGTGAGGGAGGTGGTACCCAGGACTGAAAGCAGCATGTCCTCCCATCCCACCCTCACATGGCAACAGTGAGTGGGTGAGGGGCTTCTCTCTCTTTGAAGAGAAAAAGACCATTGGCTCAGCTCATCCTCTCCCAGCCCCCATGGCAACTCCAGACTCCCAGGGTTCAGGCTATTGGAGATGCTGCAGCTGTTGAGGAGATAATTCAAAACAGTCAGACAAAAAGATAGCTACAGGAAGCACCTGTGGCCAAGGATGGCTTTTATTGTCATTGCCTCCTCAGCTTCCCCACCCCCTCAGCCCTGCTGGTTCCTTCATCCCCTGTACAGGAGACCAAGGCTGCGGATCCTCTGAGCAGAGCCTCCAGCAGAGCCAGTGGGGGCAGAGGAGGAGATCTCCTCCTGTAATGCCTGTGCTCCAAGATGAATAGGAGCCTGCCTGCCTCCTGGCCCTGCCTGGCCACACACAATGAGCTTCAAGGGAAAGGTCCTTGGGGGTGTGGGGAGAAGGGTGAAGTGAGAGAACAGGAGGGGACTGGAGGAATGCCTTGACTCTGAGGCTACATTGCATCCCTTATTCCTCAACACCTGCCTTAGCCCCCCCCCAAAACTTCTGGCTGAGGTTGGGGATAGTGGGGGGAGGCTGGGATGGAGCCCCAACACTGAGGTTCATGACTTCCTATAGAAGTCACACGGAACTGGGTGGGTATAGTTCATGTTCTGGGGACCCAAGAAAGTTTCCTTTCTGAAGGTCAAGGTCCCAGTCATTCCTGAGCTCCTTGTGCCTAGAGTAGGTACAAGAAATAGTTAGGAGCCAAGAGAGACCACAGAACCAGACTCCTACAAATGTGTCCTTCTGCAAGAGAGTTCACAATAGGCTCAGATGCTCTAACTAGGTCAGGAACATTCATACTTCCTGCCTTGCCAGGCTATGACAATGAGTTAAAAACAAACAGAGTGAGCCCCATACAGAGTGAGCAGCCAATACCATGTATCTGCTTGTCTGTGACTAAGGGGGCCTTTTTCGGACTTTGGGTCTTGTAACCATAAGGACAGGGGCTGAAATCACAAGAAGGTTCTTGCATAATGGCTGAAGCATGAATCTCTTGAGTTTGAGGACACTGACTCTAGGAGAGCTTGAGCCTAGTTAATGCCTGATGCTGGGGTTATAGATGCTGAGAGACAGAGCTGGGCCCTGTCCTGGGGAAACTTCCAGGGTGGTCCTATGTGGGGTGGGGCATAATAGGAACCCACATAGGAAGAGGTTGAGAGAGTGGCTCTGTAGGCAAAGTGAGAGTGTCCTGTCAGGAAAACTGGAAGCTAGGGGCACAGCCTGAGAAGGCAATGGATCCGATACAGGTGGGAATCAGAGGAGCATGAGTAGTGGGACAGCAAATGGGCCAGGCAGTGGAGATGGACACAGGGAAGAAAATAAATTGTAGCCTCTTCCTCCCATGGCATCATCTTCATTCAGTGTCTGGCTGTCCATTGACTTTCTATGATAACCGAGGTCACTTATGTCCCTGGCCCCATTCCCACTGCACGGGGTGATCCCAACAATGTTGCATATCAGCCTGCTCACCCCATTTATCACCTTCTAGTCACAACCCCTGGTCCAGCCTATTCCGGAGAGAGACCCCATCCCACAGCAGTCTGTTTCACGGCTCTCCCTGAGGCCTGATCAGGTTACAGGGGCAGTGACCACAGCACATGGTCAGGCAGAAGTCAGCCAGCCAGCTCTGAGATGCTACCATATACCCTGAGGCTCACCTGTGGATGTCTTGGCCAGCGGGTGTGTGGTCCACCTCCAGCCCTGCCTGTCTTAGGACATCGATGACAGTGTTGTTCCCCAGAAAGTGACCTGGAACATAAGATGCAGCGTGGTCTCAGCCACATGCTAGGTTGTGGTCCAGTGGCTAGATGCCATCCCTTGGGTTTGTGTCTTGGCTAATGAATTATACCAGTGGAAGTTCCCCAAGAGTCTCCTGGATGGGTACTGGGACAAGGAATGCCCATACATTAGCAGCAGGGTCCCTTTAAATCCAGGTAGTGTGTCTCAGTGGGGAGATGTAAACCTGGTCCACCCTGAATATATTCACACCCCAGCTCTGTTCTCAGGCTGCACCTCTGCACACTCCAGTTTCCTCACCTGTAAAGTGGGATTAATTAAAATCACCTACTCTAGTCTGCACACAGAGGCTCATGTGCAGCAACCTATTGTCTTATTGTGCCTAATGCCACTAATCTGACCCTAGTGCCAGTCCATCTGGGGTGGTTAGCCTACAGCAGTCATGAAAGGCCTATCTCTAAGAACATCCCTGCCCTACAGGTCTATGGTTTCTCTTTGTAAACTCCATCAGTAACTCATGCCTCCTTTCCTTAGTGCCCTGAGAGACCTTCAGGGGCAGAGACCACTTTACCACAGTCTTATACATGGCCAGGGTCTTACACATGCTCAGCATGTTCTGGATGGATCTAAGATTCATTTCTTCACTATCTACCCATGATAGCCTAGGTACTAGAGAATCCATAAACCCTTCCCAAATCCAGGACATTGACAGTGACCTAAAGGAGGTGCAAACAGAATGACTCCCATGAGATGGCGTTCAGAAGTGTGTGTGTGTGTGTGTGTGTGTGTGTGTGTGTGTGTGTGTTGTCCATCTCACCTCCCACCCACTGTTGATTCCCTCAGCAAGCATTTATGGCACACCTGCTCTGTATGAGATACTATATATATACACAGACAGAGAATTTAGGCCAGGGCTCAGAAGAAGGCAGTGGCCTCCTCTCTCCAGAGCACAGGTAGGTAAGATGTCTGTATCTTTTATAGCTCTGTTAGGGAGAGTCATTTCCTCAATCCCAGCCTCCTGGCCTCAGTCTCCCTACGTTTGCTGCATGAGCAGTTTGGGTTGGCTTGTGCTTCCAAAGCGCCTCAGGATCTCCCCATGTTGAGTCTGCTGCATGGCCCCACATGTAACATTGTCTTCCTGCTTAACCTGGGCATGGGAAGCAGGGGGTTTAATCACTGTCCCATGACTCTGATTGCTGGTGACGAGTGGTGACAGGTGAGAAGCGGGAGGGTCAGCATGCTGACAGCCCCAGGGAGGTTGAGAACACAGTGGACAAAGTGGCAGGAACAGACATGCTCCTGACACAGAGGGAGTCTGCAGGTCTTGTGCAGCGGCTGAAGCAGAGGGGACATCCTCAGCTTGACACACCTCCCCAAGTCCAGCCATGTCTCCCTAGCTGGTCAGTCAGAGTTGCTGGGGTTCCACTTGGAGATCACTGGAAGATCACCACACAGGGGAGGATGCTAAGGGTGTTAGTCCAGGATCTGGTATACTTCCTCTGAACCCTTGGGCACACAGGGCACACAGGGTACCACCACACAGAGTGTCAGGTTTCTCTATGACAGCGGGAGATATTGGAGTGCAGGATGAACATGGTTCATATTCATCGTCCATGGCAGAGAGTTTTGTTTCTTTAAAACCCCTATGAAAAGATGTTCTTCTTTCTCTATCCCTCTCTGTCTCCTCCTTTCCCTTCCTCTTTTTTTGCTTTTCACTTCTCTCCCCTTTCCCCTTCATTTCCTCCTTTCTCTTCTCCTTGACTGCCCCTCTTCTCACATCCTTACGTCATTGGTTTAGTGAGCACTGACTTATTGCACATGCCATGCTGGATAGTGATTGACAGTCTGAGTCCTCTCTGTCTCAGACTCTAGCTTTTGGGATGTGGGCACTACCTACAATGCATAAGACACCACAGGGACACAGGAAGTTGTGCAGGTATGTGAGGCACCCACATTAGTGTGGTGACAGGGAAGACTTCCTGGAGGAGGCGGTTTTGCTAGGTGAGGATGGGAGTCACTGGAGCTAGGAAGAGGGGCTCCAGGTGGAAGGCAGAATTTGCAAAGACTGGGAGAGGGATGAAGCTGGCAGGGTCTTGACACAGAGGCACAGGTGTGAACAGGTCCTCCAGAATCTGGCTTTGACCTCACATGCTGAGGACATGTTGTGTCTCTCCCTCATCGTGTGTGCTGGTTAGTCTCTGGTAACCCGACATAGACTAGACTCACCTGGGAAGAGGGACCCTCAAATGAGAAATTGCTTCCATAAGACTGGCCTGTAGGCATGCCTGCAGGGCTTTTCTGTTTTTCTTTTCTTTTTTTGTTTTTTTTTTTTTGTTTTTTGATTAATGACTGATGTAGGAGGGCTCAGCCCACTGTGGGTGGTACCAGCCCAAGGCAGGTGGTTGTGGGTTGTATAAAAAAGCAAGCCGAGCAAGCCAGTGAGCAGCATTCCTCCGTGGAGGAATTCCTCTACTTCAGTTCCTGTCTCCAGGTTCCTGCCTCAAGTTTCTGCTCTCCACTTTCTGGGAGATGAACTGTGACCTAGAAATGTAAGATAAAATAAACCCTCTCCCCCCCAAGCTGCTTTTGATCAGTGTTTTATCACAGCAACAGAAGGCAACTAAGGCAGTCTGTGATCCTAGCTAGTGGCTTTCTTGTCACCAGTGTCCTTTCTCCGAAAATGTCAAATAAGCCTGTGCCTCTTTGACCTGCTCTGGGGGCAGCTTGAAGCCCCAGAGAGGAAGGAGAAGTAAAAGTCCTTGGCCAGCATGCCATCATAAGAGTGCTAAAACTGTCCCTGGCTAGGCTGGAGCCATCCCCCCTCACTTAGCTCTCCTCTCTCTGGCTGGAAGAGAGCAGTGGTGGCAATCTTCAGTGCTCAGGAGGAAGGACTCTCTGCCAGGAGTTCATGGCCTCTGCTCTGGACAATGAGATAAGTCCTCCTCTGTTTCCATGCAGAACTGGGTTTAAAGACAAGCTCTGGTGCTCCAATTATGGTTCCTACATCCACTAGAGAAAAATCCAAGTTTTGTTTGTCTGGGAGAAGTAGGTGACATCCACTGAGTGTCCTAAGACTTTACTGTGGGTGGTCAGAGTGCTCAGGCTTGGCATTGCCCTATGTGGCTTCTGTGGTGCAGACCTCAAGGGATGCTGCTGAACCCTGAGCACTGAATGTCTCCCATGTGAGCTGGAAGAGCCCTGGCACTCCCTCCACCTTAAGGCTTTTTGAATGGGATTGCTTTCTTTAGGTCAGGGATACTAGGAGAAAGCAAGTAGGGGCAGGTCAAGTTTAAATTTCTACCTTCTCTTCCTCTGAGCAACACTCTTCCCTCTCCTTCTCATCCTTCCTCCTGGGATGGGAGAATGGTACTTCTCCCCAACTCTCTTTGTATAACCCCATGAAGGACCCTTCTATATGGGCTGTGCCTAGAACTCTGATGTGAGTTTTGCATGCCCAGCCAGTATTTCTGACATCCACCCTCTCTGGTGTTTGGTCTCATGAGACCCACAGTTGCAACTTCATAGTATCCAAGCCCCCTACTGGCCTGTGCATTTTCATCATGCTCTTACTCTCTGGTGACTCTCTTGATGGGCTTTCTTCTGCCCAATCCAAGTATGAGCCCCAGAAACCTGCCCTTGGCCTGTTTCCTCTTCATCCTGTTCACACCTCAACTATCAAGCCTCACCTCTGGTAAGTTTGATGCTGTCTACTTCAGACATAGTGGTGCCCAGTGGCCCATGGACATTTCCACCCAACCCTTCCATGGAGCCCACCAACCTTGTTTGCCCTCTCTACTGGATATTGCTAATCAAGCTACACTGGCTTTCATCCTCCAACAGCCAATAGTGACCCCCAGATGTCACCTCTCAAATACACTGGATTGCCCAGCCACCACCACCTGCAGCAGAACTTCAGGAATCACCGTTCTTTAGTCCCTTCCCAGTGCAGCGAACCTGACCTGCCCATGGCCCAGAACTGACTCTGTTAGAACGTGCTCTCTAAAAGCCACCTGATGAGGGTGGGGGTGGGATATAACGATTTTGCAGGGTGGGACTATGCCTGATTCATGTTTGTCCCCAGAGTTAAGCCCAAATCTGGCGCACTACCATGGCTCCGTGAATGTTTGTTGAATGAATGAGTGACACAGCCTGTTACTCCACATCCTTTCCATGATCTCATCCTGTCCCCAGGAGACCCGAGTTTCCCCCATTCTTGTAGTTCAGCCTGGCCCTTGGTGATTCTCCCCAAGATCCCACCAATCCTAGGAGCTTGGCCCCTATACAGGCCAGAGTCAGGGTCCAGCATATGCTGTCCCCAGGGGTTGGCAGACAGGGCTTAGGCTTGTCTCCAAAGTTGGAAATTCTGGACAAGGCACCACCCCCATGCTGGAACCTGCAGGCAAGGTGGTGGAAGGTTTCCAAAGGGGCCCCACAATGTTGGGGCTCAGCCTGCTTGGCTTGCCCAGCCTCCCTGGGGCTCCTGGCCACCACTCAGCATCTCCCTCCAGCATTAGCTTCCAGCTGTTCTCTGGCCAGCTCTCTGCAGGAAGACACGTTCCATTTCGATTGCTGAGTCCAGAGAGGACAGACACAGAAGAGGAAAGGGAGGGTGGGGCACAGGGAACCAAGGAGACAAGAGGGAAGTAGCAAGAAAATCAGAGGGACTATCACAGGGTAGAGGTAGTGGGGAGCAGGGGGGAGGGAGAACCCCAGGACCTGGGAAGCAAAAGAAGACACAGGAGAGGGGCCAGAGACCAGCTTTGAGATGCAGCTTCACAGAGAGAAGAGGGGAACAGGAGAGAGGGGGGGGGAGGAGGGAGGGAGGGTATGGAATGACATCTGCAGTAAAATGGAAGAGGATGGACCTAGCAAGAGGAGAGAGGACCAGAGATGTAAGCAGAGACACAGGGGAGAGATGGTCCCAGGATGGGTTGTATTAGAAGGGCATCAGGAGGATCTAGGTTCAGGGAGTTTAGAGCTTCAACACTGTGGGGGCGGGGCTCCCTGAGACA